ACACATCCTCCCGGACCCGGGGCGCTCTCTTCCCACACCGGCTGCCTGGCTTGAGAACCCAGGGGCCCCAGCGGAGGTGGGGCCCAGGTTTCTCTGCTCGGAACCGAGCTGGCATTTCCTCAGCTCTCAGCACTCTGCAGAGCAGTCTGCCTACGCTCGGGAGGCCCAGCCCAGGAACCGCCGCTCAGAGACGCAGGCCTCGACTTGCCTGGGCCCGGGACGCTGCGTTCTCTTCTGGGTCCACTCGAGGCCGGGGGCCCCAGCTCTGCGCCCTCCAGCTTCACACTGTCGCCAAGGGCCGTGTTCTAGAGTGGGCCAGTCAGGGCTTTTGTTTCCAGCGCGCTGTGTCTTTAAAATCCGGGTTGGAGCTCGGGCAGCAAGGACCCGACCCTTCTCCTAGCCAAGACTCCAGAACACAGCATTAGAATGTTTATAAAATATTCAATTTATGCAGTCTGTCCAAGAAGCCATCGTCCCAAAATAAAATCAGCAGTCTAGACGGAACACAGACACCAGAACTTATCAACAGTTGTCTGACTTGCATCTTCTGATGCATCTTGAGTGGGTCATAATACCAACTTTATTTTCAGTGGTGCATAAATTAATTACACGCATTTAATAACCAAAATATCATTATATTCCCCCTTTAATATCATAAAGGCTTTCCGCCAGGGAAGCACTTAATAGTGCAGGGGGCCGTAACGGGCTATTATCCTGGTGTAATGCTATTACAGAACCAATTATGCGCCATTAGACTGGCTTTTTTTGCAGTTTATGTGATTTGATCCAATCCCGCGCCCCTGACTTGAAAATTTCAGCCCGGTACTTTAGAGTTTAATTTTCACCCAGGCAGAGAGAAGGGCGGTCTCTCTCTGCTGAGTGTCTGCCTCGGATGCATTTTAAAAGTAATTGCGAAGGGTCCCACCGCATATCATTTACATAGAGAAGCGAACATAAATTCAGGGACCCCTTGCTGAGAACAAAATCAAACTTTCCTTTTGTACCATCGTTTGGAAAGGGAAGCCGTGTGCAAAGAGTCCCCCCAAAACATATCCGAGGCGACAATTAGCAGCGCTTTGTCAACTCGCAGCCCCGGAGTCGCCAGGCCTGTGACAAGGGCAGAGCAAATCCCATCTCTCCCGAAGAAAGAAGGTTTGAGTGTCGGGGGGATAGTGGGGGAGGGCTCAGGGTTGAGAATGGAATCTCTTTGGGGTGATGGTGGTGGCCGTTCTTCCTTCTTTTAAAAGAAAAGAGCAAAACCATTCCTGATGTTTGCTGAGAAATGACGGATTTTTTTTTTTTTACACCACGTGGGCCGTTTGTAAGGCCCAATAGACCTATCCAAGTTACTCGCTGTAGACAGCGCTGGAAATAATCAGATTAAGGCCAATTATGCGTGAGATTATAAAGGCGAGTGCTGAGCCGCGCGTGCTGTAGACAGACAGCAAGACATCTGGCCACTTCCCGAGTCACTTCTCGGGTCCTGCGGGCGCCAGCAGATCCGAGCCCCGCCCGCCGCCAGCAGAGCTTGGTGCGGCCAAGCGGCCCGGCGC